TCTTACTTGCATCTACTCTTGTTATTTGAAATATAATTTAGTTCCTGTTCAACTGTGTTCTGATTCGGGGACTTATCGGGTGAATTGGTGTTCAATGATACTAAACAATAGGAATAGTTGAGTGGCAATAAGAGAAAATTATGACAACACTGTAGACTCAGATGCATTTTCGAATTTCACAAGAATGATCTATTCCCTAAAAACTTCAGTTAACTCATTATGATGAGTTTTAAATCGGACGAAACGTAAGTTCAAGCTTATCAGACGAGTACCTTCAACCACTTCTTATCAAAAAGACAATTCTTGATTTCACTTGGTTAATAATCTTTAATGATCATAGAAAAATAGTTTTATGATTAGAGTTGGTTTAGTTTAATGACAGAATAACATCGTCAAAGGGATTATACAATCGCTTTAGTAGGATCAATCGAAAATGTTTTAATTCATCAGGTTACAATGCAAAATAAATTATGTAATGAAGACGTTTTTAGGCAAATACCTTTTCAATGCTTCTTTGTAGTTTTTCATGTAGGGATTAGTTCATTGGTTAAAGCATATGACTTTTATTTACTGTGTACTATGTTCGAAACCCACTTTATCTAATTACAAAATTAACCTTTACCATCTGGTCTTTTATTACTACTAGTAAAGTCTGAATTCAGTGACCGAAATTAGGCCTTAATCCTATGTATAGTTGGTTAGTTCCAATAGTGTTTCTGGTTGCTGTTTTTTTCGGGTGAACTGAACTTGACATGAGAGAAAACAATTTATTTATTGCATTTCAGATTACCTTGGGCTTCTGGAAATTTCTGGGACCTTTCTAAACATAGTAGCAGGGTAGGTAATCTTCCAGTCAGAAACGTGACATATGACTCTGTACTTTCTAATTGTTTCTGAGGAACTTCTATTGAATGCTGATTGGATAAAATGTTTCTCAGAGTTTTTTAGGGTCCCTTTGGGATTTTTTTCGAAGAATTTCCTAGGTTTCTCCAACAATTTAGAGTAGGGTTTAGAAAGTTATTGGTGGTTAATCCAAAATGTGTTTTCGGTTTATGTAGTCAGTAATTATTGGTTTGAGTCAGTTTAGTAGTTTCAGGTTATTTAATCATAGTCGGTTTAATTATCATAATCAATTGTTTGAGATGGTTAGCAGCAAACCTGAGAGTTGGTCACAGTAGTGCACTGAAAACTGACTTTTCTTTTGGAATCATCTCTATCTCCAGTGTTGTTCTCTAATCTTAATAATACTACTAATTTTTCTATTATTTTCACATTCATCATTATAATTTCATCTCATTATAATGATATAGTATGGTAAATATAACCAATGTTTGCCAGGTTCCATACTGTTGATGACTGACTAAATGATTGAGACTGTTTTAACATATAGGGAAGTTCGACATTTTGATAACACTACTAATCAATCCTTTGAGTAGTACGAGGCTATAATCTTGTCTTGATAAGTGAACACTTCACAATATTCCAATGATCTAACCTATGTAACAATCATGCATATGTAACAACATCGACTAAAGTATATTTTCCTTTCTAATAGAAAATTCATTTGATACTATGAATTCTTTTCGTAACAAAGAGTTCTTAGCACAAACATTACAATATTATAATAGATTTCGGTTTAATATACATTGAATTTGTAATCATTTAAGAAGATATTGATAAGTCTTCTAATTAAATGTTAGATTCGGTTTCCTAAGCTCTCTATTAACCCACAGGGTAAATCTACACAATGACTTGAACACGAGAGAAATACGGAAGAAACGCTGTACTCCAATGGTTTGTTTATGTACAGGAATTCTAGGGTATTTTTAAAGTATTTTAGATGGCCTTGAGCTTCTGGAAATTTCTGGAACCATTCTATACACAGAAACGCCACGTGTGATTTTTCACTTTCTGGATGTTTCTGGTAAAATTTCTATAGAATTCTGTTTAGATAAGATGATTTCTCAGCGTTTTCAGAGCCTTTTATGGCATTTTCCAGCTTGATTGCTCGTATCTCTCATACATCTTCAATGGAATAGTTATTTTTAATCAGGCAGCTTTTGCAAATACCTTTTTACATCTATCATATGTAAGATGCATGAATTTCAATATATTCGTTCATCGTTTCATCAAATAATAGCCAAACAAGAAAATATGTCAAGAGTTTGAGTGCTTCGATTTGACATCTTATAAGTAGCACGTCTAAACCTACAATTATCATTTATAATCATTCATTTCAAATCAATTTACAACTAAAAAAAGTAATTGCACTATTTATTCAGTTGGAAATTAGTTGACCTAAATCTTTAAACAGATCGCATTATCATAGCTAAAGTGACCGAGTTTTCTTAATCACAAATTAATAATATACCTAGAGAATTGTATCTTAATTTATAAGTCATGTTGTGGTGTGTACTACTGATGTTGATAGATATAAGTAGTATGCATCATCAATAGAAAGTGAAATGCCTGGAGGCAGAAGGTTAAGAAGATCAAAGAAAAGAGAACAAGAACAGAGAATGATTGATGTGAAAAAGAAGCAACAGTCAAGTCTCAGACAATTGATTAATACTTTACAAACGAAGTATTTACTGTATGGTTCTCAGATTTTACTAACAGGTTCTGTAATTTTGTATTCACATACATTCGGTTGTTCCCACTTGTGTTCTCGTTCACTACAAGAGTTCTTTAATCATCCTATAAATTGGTGATAAATTTCATGACCTTCATACGATGTTGGATGACATTCAATTAAATACTATCGTTAGGTATTTATTAGATTTATCCTAAGTCTGTTTCAATTTAACACTGAGACTTGGAGTTTTGTACAACTGTTGATTCATCGCTATTCAGTGATGTCTGATATACGTTACAAAATTGAAAATCGCATGCTCATTAGTTTAAATGAAATTCGATAATATAAATAATGATGGAATCTTAAACGTTAATGGGAAGATTCAAACTAACGATACTAAATGAATATAAACTTCACCCTATTTCACAAGCAAGTGGCTAACAGGACTCAGTAGCTAAGTGAATAACGCAATGAAGTTTGAAGCATAAATTACTGGGTTCAAGTCCTGGAGTGAACATCAACTCTGAGATGCAGGTATATCCGGCGGAAGAGTTCCAAATAGGACGAAACGCGCGTCTTGGATTCCACTAGTAGCCACTATCCATTTTTGCTTATAATAATGGACACTGACTGAAACAGAAAGTGTGTTTAGCCATAATACGTGGATTAACCCATCTATGTTAAGAAAATGACTTTCAACTTTTTTCGTGGAACTGACAAATAAATCAAATTTATTGTGCATTACATAAAAAGCATGGCAGATTGGTTGAATTTAGACATTAACACCGTTGGAATTCGGCTCGGTGGTCTAGTTGGTTGGGAGCCTGGCGTGAGACTGACAGGTCTTGGGTTCAAATCTCGCGGGGTGCGGGGTCATGGATGCGCACTGCTAAGGGGTCCCCTACTAGGACGGAACGACCGTCCAGCGCTTCCAGGTTTTTCATGGTGGTCCAGCTTCAATTGACTCAGGATTTCAATCGCAGAAGTATATTTATATATAGCGTTTGGAATGTTTATAATTGTTAGGAATAATTCTCTTTTCTTATTATCATCATATATCGTCACGAATGTATATTTGAACTATTTTAAGTCTTCTATGATTCTTCATAACATATTAATTTGTGACAAAATCATTTGTAAAACTTTGTATTTGCCTGTTATTGACATTATGGATTGAAACGGACCTGTCTCTGTCAGACTAATGTATCATAAACCGATAGGCATTTAATAATCAAATTCCTTAATATCGATGACGCGAAAACACAATCCCTTACTACTGTGTTTCTATCTATTCAATAAGTAAATAGTAATCTGAACGTTGTCGTATAAGACATTGGCTATTAAAATCCGAAATTAAAAGTAAAGAGGAATACTGCCAGTTAGTGAGCTACAACGTAGGACCAGACATATACATGCATCGGTCCAAGTTGCCATAAATAATTATCACAACAAGATGAACGCCGAATTCATAGAAGTAGTGTAGTGAACAAGAACATGAGTGGGTACGATCGAATGTATTTGGAACCCGCAGTTACAGAACATCTCACTAAAATCTGAGAACCATACAGTAAATAGTTAATTTTTAAAATATCAATCGTCTCAAACTTGATTGTTCCTTTTGCAAATATCAGTCCATCGTCTCAGATTTCATTGTTCGTGCATTTCCATAGCAATTGCTTACCGTTTCCGTTCTTTCCTTCTTTATCTTCTACTGAAATACATTCTATTTCTGACTATCGTTTTATACTACATGTGTGGATATAGGTAGCTCACATCATAGTAGTTTCTTCAATGGTGGTAATATATAAAAAGAAAGATTGCATATAAGGATATAGTACAGGAAGAAAGACTTAATTCGTAGAATGTAAGATATAAAGTAATGTCAGTCTCACAGTTTAAGGGGAGACAGAGACTGTATACATTTACGTCATTGTGATCGATTCTATGCCATATCACTCAGTCTCCAATCATTAGTTATGATAATTACGTGAACTTCAACATCACTCAGACTAGAGATACTGAGACATTGATCGATTCCACTGATCAATCCTAAATTAGATAAAATACTCGTTCTATATTCAATTGTTATAACCACAAACCCATTTCACTAAGATATAGAGTTTCCCCTCAGCAGTGCGCATCCACGACCCCGCCCCACCGGATTCGAACCCGGGACCTATCAGTCTCGCGCTAAGCGCTTAACTAACTAGGCCACTGGGCTGACATCGAACGTTGTTAATGTATAACTTCAACTAATCCACGAAATTGAGCGATACATCCACCACTGTCATCAGTGAGTTACTATCTCACAACTGACCCGGTTGAACTCCACTGATCACTACTTCTCACTAGAACTCCAGGATATATATATCTTGAAACCAGTCACTAGTTTCTTATCAATATACAATAGCTTTTTTTGTTGGATAACATCAATCAATAATATTCACAAGAATTAAACAAACTGTAATGGATAATATAAACAATTGAATGAAACAATAAGGAATACAATGAAAATGTACAGTTGTTGTTGTTGTTTTTGTTGCTGTCGTGTTTTTTTTGTTGTTGTTTTGTTTTCAAAATGAAGTGGAATTTTTAAAAAAACGTTTTTTTATTTTCATAAAATTTTTCAGCCCATTTTACATAAGGCATAGCAAATTGAAAATGTAATTGTTGACGTGATTTACGTAATATTGAATCTTTATAATAAAATCTATTCATTATGTAGAAGAAATAAAGAAAAAAAAATACAAATCAAAGTGATTAGAGAAGTAAATAGATGGTGAAATATAATTTAATGTTTAATTATTCTATGAATGAATAGAAATCAAATGAGTTACATTATTATCAGTAGGGGGTTTTGTGGATATTATAGGGATTTCAATAGTTGAGATCATGAGTTAATTGTGGGACTCCTCAGCAGTGTGCATCTACGATCTCGCCTTGTGGGATCCAAACCCAGGACCTATCAGTCTTGCGCGCGCGAGCGCTTAACCATTAGACCACTGAGGGTTCGAATCTCACAGGGGAGGCGGGTTTGTGGATGCGCACTGTTGAGGAGTTCTACAATGGAATGAAACGGACGTCCAGTGCTTCCAGGTTTTCTATGGTGGTCTAGCTTCACATGACTCATGATTTTAATATTGGACCTACATTATTATTGTAGTGTCTAGTATCCATGTGAAGTCTATATGGATTATTGTATCTTCTGTAGAGACTAATTTATTCATTCTTCTTGAGATAAATTTTAACCGATGAGACTGTAATTTATGGATGACCTTTGAGAGACGCTAAAGTGACCTTGAGAATGTTCACCTACTTACTAGGGTCAAATGAAGATTATAGATTAGTACGAGGAATTAGGATTAGAATTTACAGTTGTATGTTAAGATTAGGAATTAGATTTAATGTTTTCATCATACACTGATATCAGCTGAAATACGAACATGCTATTTAGATAAATGGGTAAATGAATTTCAAGTCAAAATTCAAGACCTGCTATCTTAAATTTGGTTGGTTAGTTCATTAATTATAGTCTTGCCAGCATCAATTTTTGTTTCTGAATTGAAGAGACCATTTTAAGTCATAAAATATTTTGTTATTTATTCAAAAATAATCATTTCCCACCGTTTTTTCTCCTTTAGTATTCCTCTCTGTCTTTTTCTCTTTGGCCGTTAGTTAATTCTCAATCAGTTTAACTTGCTTTATATTTGATGGGATGATTTTAGGTTCTACCATAGTTTCTAGAACGGCGGTAATATATTTCTGAAACGAGTGTTTGTGGAGATTGTAGTAATTCCAATAGTTGAATTCATGAGTCGACTTAAACTAGACCATCATTTGAAACCTGGATGGCGATTTCATCCTGTTGTGAAACTTCTCATGATTGCGCATCCACGATCCCACCTCGAACTCAGGACCTGTCAGTCTCGAGCGCAAACGCTTAACCTCTAGACCACTAAGCCGGCCGGCATCTAACGGTGTTAGTGTCTAACTTCAACCAATCCATGATATTGCTCAACCATCTGCCATTGTTTTCAATGAGTAACTGTCTCTACAATAGACATGGATGAACTCCACTGGCCTGGGTTCGAGTTCGGCATGCGGGGTCGTAGATGCGAACTGCTGAGGAGTCCCATACTAGGACGAAACGACCGTCCATCGCTTTCATATTTTCTATGGTGATCTAGCTTGGGTCGACTCGTAAATTCAATTATCGAAATTAGTATAATATCCACAAAACCCCTTCTTATGTAATTGTTATTTTTTATTTTATAGTTTGATACCATCTCATTTGTTTGTATATAAACTGTATATGTCTGAAATACATGATTCATACAGTGGAAGCTGATATTGGTATTCTGGACTGAACCGGCTGGATTAGGTGAAAAGAACCAGTAACTCTAGGCTGTTCTTACTGATTACCGTATCATTAGTTTGGCACAGTACCAAGGTCAAATAAATCAGTGTTCCAATTGATGATTTAGTCGGATTATAATCAACAAACCATTAGAACAAAACAGTAAGTTGAGTATAAATGAATACAATTAAAGAGTATAGGATTGTGGAGATTATTAAATTATTGATTGAGATCTTGAACCGATTGATGTTAGACCACCATTGAAAACCTGAAAGCACTGAACGGCCGTTTCGTCTCATTGTGAGATAGTAACTCACTGAAGACAATGGCGGATATGTTGTTCAATTTCATGGATTAGTTGAAGTTAGACATTAAAATCGTTGAATGCCGGTCTGCTCAGTGGTCTAGAGGTTAACCGTTCTAGTCCTGGGCTCGAATCTGCCAAGTCGGGATCATGAATGCACACTGATAAGGAGGAGTCCCACAATAGGATGAAACAGTCATCCAGTGCTTCGAATATAAATAAGTTTATTATAATTATAAATTATAATCTTCATTTACCTTATAGCTCTTGCCATTTTTTCATAATCCATTAATTTATTATTACGATAATAACCCCATTCTTTTGCTGCTAATTGTGTATTTACAATACGAAATAATCCAGTTGATTTATTAACCCATTGAAATGCACTATCTTTACTAATCTCTAAACTATATAATATAAATTGCCATAATTCCATTTGTTTATTTTTACATCGATCATGATTATTATGTGAATGTGAATGTGAATGGGCGAATTTCCGATGTTTTCTTGATTTGATTTTATTCATTGAAGTGGTAGATTGTTGTTGTATCTCTTTATCATTGGAATCTAATAATTCATTAGATAACCAAAGTGTTGAACGAAAATCTTTATGCATACGTCGTGTAATAGGATTAGGCCACCATGATTCATATTCATTTATTTCATTTGATGATTGTATATAATGCTCTGATAAAGGAGGTTTTTTTCGATGATGTAAATTAGTAGTAATTGAATGATAAGTAAACTTTTTACATTGATTATTTACTATCTTTTCATATTCTTTCTCCTTCTCCTTCTCCACTTCCTCGTCCTCCTCGTCCTCCTCCTCCTCCTCATCATCATCATCATTAGAAGAAGAAGAAGAAGAAGATGATGATGATGATGGTGAATAGGATCCATCTTGATCATTTGAAATTAAAGATCTATGCTTAAATTTTCGTTTATTAGTTCGATATTTTCTTAAACGTTTTTGACGTATTAAATTATTATAATATTCAGCTTCGGAACATGTTAATGTACTATCTGAATTATATTCATCATTATTCTTTTCATTATTATATGGGAGTTTATGTTCAATTTGTTCTTCTTCATTCGAAATGATCTCATTATCATTGAATATTGAATTCTGATTCAATTGTAAATGTTTATTATTCCGATCATAATTATGTTGAAATAATGATGATGATGATGATGATGATGATGATGATGGTGATGACAACGATGATGATGACGACGATGATGGTGTTGAGGATGATGATGGTGTTGAGGATGATGATTGTGATGATGACGATGATGGTGTTGAGGATGATGATGATGATGACGACGATGATGGTGTTAAGGATGGAGATGATGATGGTGATGTTATTGAATAATCAAATTTATTGATTTCTTCTGATGTAGATTTTAATGAATTAACTGTTGAAAAAATTTGTACAACATCATCCATACGTAAATCTGCATAAATTTCATAGAAGAAAAACTTTTTCAAGTAAAGAATCTTTGTCAAATATGATATTCTCTTCAAAATATAAGAGTATTCTTTTAAACAAACAATACTCTATGATCAAAGATTCCAATACACAAGGATGAAAAATAGAATTGTGTTTATGTAATCAAATATAATGACTGTAATACAATGTATGTAGGTGAAACATCAAGGCAACTGAATGTAACGGTGAAGGAATACAAATTATGCTTAAAGTACAATTTTAAATCTTCAGTTGATATAAGGAAACTCAAAAACAAATCAGCTATACCATTACACTTCATAGAATCAGGTCATAGGATTGATTTCAATAGCATAAAAATCCTTCAAAAAGGTGTTCATTCTTACAAAGAAAGACTAACATCTGAAGTCCTATACATATAGATAAATCCAAACAGTATTAATAGGAGTGATGGAATACAATCAGGTGTCCCATGGCAACTAATAATTAATAAGTAAACCTAAACTCATTCCTTTTCATCAATCGTTTATTATTTTTGAATAACAGCAATCACATTCAACGGTTCCAATCAGCTGTTTTATCTGAATATGTTAAACAATTCATTGGAACAATAAAAGTAACACAAACTTTCAGTGACAAATACATTCTTCCTCTGTATTATATGTTTTTCTGAAGATTCACCGACCAAAGGACAATATGTGAATGAATGAAATCTCTTCTCATACCACTTATGTATACACATTTTTCATTTCATACCACAAGTCTCTTATACACTAATGTAAATACCTACTTTAAACATTGTTCACGTTGATTGGATAACGTATTCAGTATACAGTAAACCAGAGAACTATGTACCTATTTATATTCCATAGTTTTGTTGTTTGATTATAGTTTCCTTGAAAAAGCTTGGACCAGATTGTCAGGTGAAAACACTGGATTTACTTCAAATTCATTCGCTGAGATTTTACTAATCTATATTCTACCATTTTAATGTATGATATTATCCATTTAAATGGATTCTATTATGATATTGTACCATTGGAAAAGATTATGTCAAATAGGAATATTACTGAAATTTAGACAGAATTATACAGCCGATTCTTTCTTATATTTTAACAATTGAATCCACGACTCAATATAAGTTAGACTACTATTGAAAATCTGGAAGAACGGAACGGCCGTTTTATTCTAGTATGAGACTCCTCGACAGTGAGCATCCATGATTTCTCATCAAAGGGGCTCAAACCCAATACATTCGGTCTCACGAGTGAATGCTGAATCGGCATCAAACTATGTTATTGTCTAACTTCTATCGATCTTGTATATCATATATATTGACATATGAACTCTTAATCATCCGTCCTGAACTCTTTATTCGATGACTTTGGTGTAAAATACTAACTCTTTTATCATATCCACTTGATAAGATTCATAAGCATACATTCGGTTTCGTTTTTAAATCCCACCTCTATGTGATATTTCATAAATGGATTTGACAAATTTGTATACATCAGGACTCGGTAGCTAAGTGGATAACGCGGTGGCGTTTGAAGCTAACGTTAGTGAGTTGGAAACCTAGAGTGAACATCAACTCAGACTCAAACACATCTATCTGACGAGTCCCAAATAGAACGAAACCCACGTCCTGAATTCCACTACTAGCCATTATACATCTTTGTATATAGTGCTTGAGTCTTAAGATTATATCGAGGCAATACGCACAGTATGCACATATACCGATAAGAGACTGACCAATCGCAGTCCTAAACATCAATGGGAAGATTCAAACAAACTATACCAAGTGAGTTGTGTACACATCGTTCAGAAATTTTTTTGAAAATGTTATATACTACTTAATGTTTTTACAAGTAACTGAAATGTTTTCTATAAATTTCATGGAATTCACATAGAATCTTTTCCATTGAAGTCATCGGGATTACGAATGCATATAATTACTGACAAAATCATATAAAAATTGTCAGTTTTGTTAATGATATCATCAAACTGAAGTGTTTGGTGATAGTAGTATCTAAAACTAACATTTTTGTGCATGTAGTAAAGTGAAAGAGTGAGAAATCTTATTCAACACTAAGCAGATCTAGTGAAGTGGAACAAGATTTAATTGAAAGTGTCTTCAATATTGTTCTAATTGTTTTTCAAGAGTGAATAAAGATCAAAAATTAGTTTCATTTTATAATATGCTGGAAAAACGTAATATTCAATTAGTGTTAGTTTGTGGCAAAGTCAAGCATCATGTTACCAACATCTACACAAAACACCTAATTAGCTGGGTGATACGGGATTGAATCCGTTAATGAGCATCAGTTCCCTCAAGATTACAGGTGCACCTTTCTGACAAGTGACAAGTAGCACATAACGTAGGTGTAGGGCATTTTGTTGACTAACTCCAATCACCATTTTATCTCAATATAGTACACATAATGTCGAGTCCCCTAGACCGGTGTGCACATTACAACCTGGTCGATAGGATCTGTACTAAGGAGGACTTGACATACATGACGATGATCACCACCTAGTGTTCAATCGATTGTAAATTGAATTAACAAGAAGTCATATGATTCTTGATAACTAGCGTCGATATTATTATTCTACAGTTTCATTATGAAATCGTGAAGTATGGAGTAGACTAATTCTGCAATAATAAGTATCACACTACATCATAGTTTAAGTGAAGTTGAAAATGTAGATTTGTTAAATATCAACTCATTGAATCAATGATATTTCATACCACACAAGATTGAAATATGCTGGTTTTAATCTCACATAGGAACATGAGTCTAGTTAACATTAATTATACTATTTTCGATATAACTAGTAATTATTCATCTTGAGGGTATTTATCTTTCATGTATAGAATCTTCAGATTAAATAAATCAAGGCATTTGATAAATTACAGACAATTTAATTCGATAAATACGAGAAGAGTGATGAATTTCGGGAAGTGAAAGATTGGATCCTTCTAGAAAGTTCTAGTCAGAAATGTTTTCATCGTTTCAATTACTAGCACACTATTTTATTCATATGTATTGATTGTTTAAATCTTCCCATTAGTGTTTAGGACTTTAATTGATCAGTCTCTTTTGGTATATGTATATCTTATGAGGATCGTCTTAATAATACCGCTATGTTTTGAATATTATAAACTGAGTTAGACTGTGGCTAGCATTGGAATCCAAGAGGCGCGTTTCATCTCATTCGAGACTTGTCAGTTGGATGCATTTGTACCCGAGTTGATGTTCATCCGGGGACTCGAACTCAGTACCATCCTTTTCTAAAGCCACAGAGATATCCACTTAGTTATGAACATAGATAGATATTGGCAAATGCAATAGAGTGGATTTAAATGTATTCTTATCGGTTGTCCAAATATATCGATTGGTGTTTAAGACTGTAATTGAAAGGTAAGATCATCACTATTGACAGTTATATATATATATATATATATATATATATATATATATATATATATATATATATATATATATATATATTCTTGTTCAATAACAATATGTTTAGTATACTACATACTTGGATTGTCAGTAAGAATAAGAATCATAACATATCAAGTGCCAGTACGATAGAAGATAGAAAAATCCTTGTCTGTAGTCCATAAAAAGTAATACGTCCACAGTTAGAACAACTAGTAATTTTTGTACAAAATTCTATTCTAACATAAGTTCATTCGTATGCAAAATATCTTCTTTTACTAACTTATCTAAGAAGTAAGTATTTATAATACACGTGCATTATAATGAAGAAACCATACATAATATAAAGCTTCTGTTGACAAGATCGAAACGATTCACAGTTCCAGTGGATGTCTTGGATAATCTTACATCATATGGTCTGAACTATCTTAACATTATAAGTGCCTACTTCAAATGATAGAGAGCAATTTAGAACTAATCCGTAAGAGCTGTAGCGTATGTCATTTCTGTGTACTTCTTTAACAGAATATCTCATTGATTCCATTACTTTCGTTATATCTGGACGAGATTGAATGAGTGATAACTGTTAGGAATTACTTATGGACTAATATTATACGTATATACCTATTATATAACTATTAAGTAATTATATTATATGTATATTCATATTCCTATCATTATAAGCTTCCATTTAACCTATTGATTACTACTATATGATTTATTGTTCTTAAGTTATTTCCAATCTATCAGTTAGAGTCTCTTACAATTACGGCCACTTTTGGCTTGATCTTATACAATTGTTATTTTCTATTTGATGATATGATGCGGTCTGATTTGTTTGTATTTAAACTCAGTATGTTTGAAATATATAATTCGTATGGCGGATGTTGAGATTGATGTTGTGGACTTAACATGCAGAGCTAGACAAGAAAGGGACCAGTCGGTATTCTGAGTTGTTCATAATGATGTATGCGTCATTGGTTGGTTGTTCAAGTCAACCTATCTAAATTAGTAATCGTATTTCCCGAGAATCTTATAAACTTAGGACACAGCAACCTTAATAATCAAAGCTTCGAATAATTGAACTGGTCTCATCTCTTAAATATATAAGGTTTCCTCATCTTGATAAGTAACAAAGGTTTTAAACAAATGAATACGTCCATATTTTGTAATTTACATAATAAGATATTGTTTTTGGAAGTATATAAATCTTTGAACATGATTAAACATGTTTTCAGTAGTCTGTCCTTTGAAACATACAATTCTAATGATCTACAGCTAAGCTATGTAAAAGCTAATGAAAATGAATGTTCACAAATTGACATTATGAGTCGATTGAAGCTAAACCATAATGGGAAACTTGGGAGCACCGGACGGCTGTTTCGTCCTAGTACGCGACTCCTCAGCAATGAGCACCCACACCCCCGCCCCACACGAGGTTCGAACTCAGGGCCCATCAGTCTCGCGCCAGGCGCTTAACCAACTAGACCACTGAGACGGCATCCAATGGTGTTAATGTCTAACCTCAACCAATCCACAAAGTTGCACCACCGTATACTATTGTCTTCAGTGAGCTGATATCTCACAACAGACCTGGTTGGACTCCACTGGTAACGGCTTCTCACTAGAACTCCAGGAGTATCTCTTGAAGTCAGTCACTAGTGAGCAGATGATTATCATCAGAAGGGGTTTGTGGAGATTTTAGAAATTTCACAGATTGAAATCATGAGTAAATTGAAGCTAGACCACCATGCTGGCTCAGTGGTCTAGTTGGTTAAGCGCTTGGTGCGAGACTGATAGGTCCTGGGTTCGAGTCTCGCAGGGTGCGGGATCGTGGGTGCGCAGTGCTGAGGAGTCCCGTACTAGGACGAAACGGCCGTCCGGTGCTTCGAGGTTCTCCATGGTGGTCTAGCTTCAATTGACTCATGATTTCAATCTGTGAAATTTTTGAAATCTCCACAAACCCCTTCTGAAAATAAATGTACTAACAGTGAGGTGTGAGCTACTGATATCGACAGATAGAAGCAGTATGTATCATTAATAGAAAGTGAAATGGCTGGAAGCAGAAGATCAAAGAAAAGAGAACGAGAACAAAGAATGGTTAGTGTGGAAACAAAGGAGCAATCAAGTCTGAGACAATTGATTGACATTTTATAAATGAAGTATTCACTGTATGATTCTCAGATTTTACTAAGAGATTCTGTAATTGTGTATTCGAGTATATATTCCATTGACCCCACTTGTGTTCTTATTCATTACAACACGATAATAACTAGTGAATTACACTAAAGTATCTTCTCAATAATCAATTATTTCGGTGAGACTAAAATTTATGGACGAATCAATCAGGTATAAGATAACAGGTCTCAGATTTTGGCGCGAAATTCATTCATCCATTTGGTTAAATAGAATTTTGGCATTATAGCTGATGTCAGTTCGTGATGAAAACCCCCAAATCTAATTCTTAACCTTAATCATCAATCGCATATCATAGTTCTAATTCCTCATACTGATTCATAACTTTCATTTAGTCCTGGTTATTAGGTAAACACTCTCAAGATCACTTCAACGTCGCTCAAAGGTTATCCATAAATTATAGTCTCATCTTATTCTTTTTCTTATCTTAGACCTTATTAAACTATAATAATCTTAGAAGATCCATGAATGTATGAATGAAACTCTTAATTATTATTATTATTATTATTATTATTATTATTATTATTATTATTATTAATGGCTTTATTCACAGTTTCACTCATATTAGATAACTAAATTACTGACTTATGATTTTGACCAAAATCAGTTTAAACCCTACATCATCAAACTTACATATTGACTAGCTGATTTGCATACATACCCTAAACATTTATAAATAGCTAAGTATTTTGTCATTTAGCATTATTAGCTGAAGCAGGGAATAAATTGTCTTTTACCTTTTATCTTCTCAAGAATTGAAAATTAGATGTTAAGTTATTGGGAGTATGGTGAAAGTTCAGCTCATGAGTATTTGTGCTAATCTCATTATGTTAGGTTTGTATTCACTAATTCGGTTCGTATTTCTACATTATTAAATTCAATCAGATCATAACACTGTGAATGGTTGATGTAGAGGCTGGTACCTTATCAAGCTCACATGGGTTATTCTAACCTGTGAATAGATCAATCTATTTACTCTACTCATGACATATTTTTACTCTGTCATTTATTTGCTTATTAGTCCTGACTGTTTTTATGCAAGCGAAAGTTGTATACATTTCTTATCTTACCCATCACATGTCTGTAACTTCTTTTTGTCAGGCTATAAATACCGATTCACGCTTGGTTAAATGAATTTGGCTCAATTGCCTTCTCCATTGCATATCATTTTGCTTCGCTTTCTTAGCTTCATTCCTCAGATCAACGACTGTATGAAATATACTCATTCAAACTTCATTCTCGTATTTGACTTATTCAATTCCGTTTTTTGTTTACTAACACGAGTTAAGTCGACAATGACATACGACGATTGACGACATATATATTTCAATAACAATCATTCGATAATGATCATTCATTCGATCTAACTGGAGTCAGATTTTGGGCCACTAGGTTAATTCAACAAGGTAATGATGTATTATTGAATAAGATTATTTGATGACTTTGGTGGAAAATACTGACTCTTTTATCATATCCACTTGATAAGATTCATAATCATACATTCAGTTTCGTATTTAAATCCCACCTCTATGTGATATTTCATAAATGGATTTGACAAATTTGTATACATCAGGACTCAGTAGTCGAGTGGATAACGCGGTAGCGTTTGAAGTTAACGGTACTGAGTTGGAAACCCAGAGTGAACATCAACTCAGATTCAGACACACTCAGCTGACGAGTCCCAAATAGGAAATCATGTAATTTCGACCTCATCCACCAATATCTTGAAATACTGACATTATATTTTTTAGTACTCACTGGTGTTCAGTAGATTTTCGGCTGATCATTATCATTCACAGCTGAAATATTCAAATTTTAATTACTGTTTGACGTTTGAATGCCATTATTGCTTAGTCTTGATACTATCATTAAACATCACATCATAATGCATAACAAATCCAAAGATATGAATTTGCATATGATAACTAAATTGCTACAAAATCAATCAATTTAATGATAATCATGAGTTAATTAAAGCTAGACCACTATGAAAAACCTGAAAGCCCTGGACGACCGTTTCGTCTTCTTGCGAGATTGTAACTCACTTAAAACAGTGATGGATGTGTCGCTCATTTTCGTGGATTAATTGAAGTTAGACATTCACACCATTAGATGCCGACCGATTCAGTGGTTTTGATGTTAAGCGCTCAAGACCAATAGGTTCTGGATTCGAATCTCACAAGGTGGGATCATGGATGCCCACTGCTGAAGAGTCCCACACTGGGACGAAACATCCGTTCAATCTTTCTAGGTTTTCCATGATAATCTAAATTCAATTAACTCATGATCTCAACTATTAAAAAATTACTATAATATTCACAAAAACCTCCTTCTAATAATGAATAATAATCACTTACTAGAAACATCTAATGTATCCATCCAAGCTATATCTGTACTTTCCAATTGAGACTCATCTTCATTAAGATCATTTGAAGTGATCTTTGTTTGTTCCTTTATATTATTGAATAATTCTTCATCATTTCTATGGTGATTATCGTATTCATTTAAACAATAATTATGTGTCATTGTATAATCCATTGGATAAAACAATGATGGATCTAATGTATTTTCAAAATGATTTGATATACTTAAAATATTCATTGTTGACATATTGTTATCTATATTCATACATTCAAGTGATTTATCTGAAGAGAATGATTTTTGATTTGATAATAAATGATCTTCTATATAATTTCTTAAATCATTACGACTACATGAAAATGAATCAATGGATTCGGATGAACATGGTGAAGTGGATTGCCAAGCTAAATCATCCGGTATATCTGTGAATATTTCATTCATATAATCATTTGGTTTGTTTATATCATCATTATGTTGTGTAGTGTTTTCAGTTTGAGATAGGAAATCTGGAATAATATTGGTTTTTTTTTAAATAGAAAATATAGTGACTTATTAAAGGTAAGTTGAACAATCCATTTTGGTGATTTATTCATTTATTACATCATCAAAATGCAAACGTTTTATATGGGACTTATTGCACTGAATACATATACACCATATAAATCAATTGATTTTGTGTGTGATATATGATACTACCTGGATGCTTAGACCAAAGAAGGTGGTTTTCTTAGGGGGTCACACCCGGAGCCTTTGACCTAAAGATCGGATCCACAAAACAGTGAAGCAACGTGAGAAGATGCAGTCCCATGGTATTCGGTGACGAACAGTTGGTTCGTACGTCATTGGTTCTCTCAGGATACTGGATTGCAGGGGTACCATTGGATTGGAATCAGGGTTTTCCGACTCTCCTAGGTAGATCCTCCCTGTCAAATAACCCGGTTAAAGTTCCAGACATTCGGTTTTCGTTCTCTCAATTTCGGAAAAAAACAGTAGTTCCGCTAGAAGGCAGTGAGTAGGACTTCCATATCAATGGTTGTATACGTGTAGCCATGTGAAAGTATTTGGGGAAAGAGAGCTGACTCTTCCCACCCTCGGTTGTACCAAGACATTTTGGGGCAGAAGTAAACATTTAGCTTCGTTTCAAAATTTATTAACAATCGAATAATTATTTTCCTTAACATCAAAATATTAAGGTTTTTCGAATTCAGGTCTTACTGAATACTTCTTATTTCCATCCGCTTTAAAGAAAATGAATTCATTTGTTCTTTAGATTCCCTTCAACTAGTCAATATCTAGAAGAAACTTACACATAAGGCTATATAATAAAGTATTGATTAAAATAGGTTAATCATTCATAAGGTTCATTATTCATCAGATAAACAATTGAATACACTGGAGAGAGAGATGTAGAGAGATGTGGAAACAGATGATCACATTGAATCAAAGAGGTTTCCAAAGTAGGGAACTAATGATACCGATTAGGTAATTCTGACTATGAAAATGAATTAACCAGTATAGTTCAGTAAAGGGGGGGGGCAGTAGTTCAAATCTCAAATGATCATTGAGAATACTAAAAACCAAAGTCATTGATATAAAACAGATCATTTAAAACAATTTCTACCTCAGTCAATGTTGATAAAAGACATCCGTACATTATCTCTATTCCCTTGATTGTGACAAGTGTCTAAATGAAGGGGAACCATGAATGAATTGAATCTTACAGTTATTATCTTTACTATTACTATTTCCTTTCGTTAGTATACCAGTCAATTATATCAAACAGTACAAATATTCTCTAAATGTTTATTAAAAACCGTTAGGTGGTTATCAGGACTTAGTAGCTAAGTGGATAACGCGATGGTGTTTGAAGCGATCGATAATGGGTCCGAGTCCCGGAGTGAACATCAACTCTGGGATGCGGGTATATCTGGCTGAGTCCTAAATAGGATGATGTGTCGCGCGTCCTGGATCCCACTGCTAACCACTATCCATCTTTGCTTTCAAAGTTATGTATACCATTTAACTTACCATTGTTTATTATTTCATTTGTTTCACTTATTTCTTCTTTTTCATCTACTGACCATTGAATATCATCGTATTGTTTAAATAGACTACATTGAAATAATTCAAAATAATAAAAAGAAAAGAAAATGAAAGTGTAAATGATTTGAATTAACAGTATGATGTTGTAAAGATCATTAAGTTTTTGATTAAGATCATGAACTGATCAATGTTAGATCACCATTTAAAATAAGGAAACACTGGATGGACATTTCGGTTTAATGCGGAACTCCTCAGTAGTGCTCATCCACGATCCCGCGAACGAGATTTATATGACTTTGTGGAAAAAAGAAGCTATATTTAAATGTATTTGTTTACATAGCTTCTAAATAATTTAATGATGACTATATTATTTTTCAAATGAGTGTATAACACTAGCTAAATCTTTAATAATGGGATTGTGGAGGTTGTTGAGTTTGAATTGAGATTATAAGTCGATCAGTATTAGTCAACTAAAATCTGGAAGCACTGAACGGCCGTTTAGCTTTAATATATGAACTCCTCAGTAGTGCTCAACCATGATCTCGACGGTTCAGTGGTGTAGAGGTTTAGCGTTTCCACGTGAAACTTGGGGTGGTGGGTTCGTGTCTCTTTGGTGCAGGGCCATGAATGGGCACTACTGAGAAGTTCCATATTAGAGCAAAACGGCAGTCCAATGCATCCGTGTGTGTAATGGTGGTCTCATATTTATTGGTTCACAACCTCAGTTTATTTAATCTGCTTGACCATTTTTGTGAAAATAAGTTTGGTATAAGGGTGGATTTTTGTCGGGAACTGAAGTAATTCAGTGTACTATTGTAGATCGGGTGGTAACGGGTAGCTGTTTCCGTCTAGTATGGAATTTCTTATATCCATAAACTAAGGTTTTCAAGTTTTGTAGCTAAAGTTCAACGTTTGGAAAAACAAGTTATTACCCAGTACCGGTTGCTTCAAACGCCATCATGCTGTCCATTTATCCACTGAGCCTAGATAGCTACTTACTTGTGCAAATGGTTAGGATTATCCCGTTACTGACACTTTTAATTGAAATTTGAAAGTCAACTCTGGGATGCAGGGACCTCCAACTGACTAGCTCTAAATAGAATGGAACGCGCGTCTTGCATCCCACTGCTAAACACATTCCTTCTATTCTATATTAAGTTGTATGATAAAATCTATATCGAGGCAATCTGCACGGAATGGTCGTACGTTAACCATGAGTGATCAAATTCCAGCCAAAATTACCAATAACAGGATAATCTGAATCATTTCAATTCGATTTCGGTTTGAATAAATTTTTTTATATTTTGCTTAATATCATGAACCGATTGATGTTAGACCACCGTTGGAAACCTGGAAGCACTAGACGGCCGTTTTCGTCCCATTGTGGAACTGTTCAGTAGTGCGCATCCACGACCCCGCTCGCGGGATTCGAACCCAGGGGCCTTCAGTCTCGCGCGTGAACGCTTAACCTACTGGACCAGTGAGCTGATATCCAATGGTGTTGGTATCTGACATCAACCAATCGACGAAATAGCGTGACCATCTTCCATTGTACTTAGGTAGATACCTGTCTCTACCCGACACGGATTAGCTCCACTGGTCATGGCTCCTCACTAGAACTCCGAGAATTCCCTCACGAAGCTATTCACTATTGAACACATTGTAATTATCAGTATGGGGTTGTGGAGGTGGTTAAGTTTTTGATTGAGATCATGAACAGGGAGTAGACTAATTGAATGGATTGATCATCTTACCTACTTTGAAAACCTCACTAACCTTGATAGATTCTTGTGATTGATAAACTTTTGACACGAATACAGATTCTCGTATGAATTTTCTTGACGTATAAAGGAATTGAAGATTTTGTAATACTGATGTTAACATTATCGTTCATTGTTTGGTCCCTTAATAACAGTTATCCGGGTGTGAGGTAGTTATCTACCGAAGACAATGGAAAATGACCGCACAATATCATAGATTAGTTGAAGTTAGACATTTACATAGTTGTGCGCCAGCTCAATAATTTAGAGGTTAGTTTTCCGCACGAGATCGAACGACATGGGTCCGAATCCCGTGTTTTCAATAGTGACCTAACATTGGTCGGTTCATGATCTCAATCAAAAACTCAATATTCTCCACAATCCCATACTGATAATTATCATGTACTCACTAGTAACAAGCTTCATGAGGGAATTCTCGTAGTTCTAGTGAGACACCGTGATCAGTAAAACTAATACAATATCAAATAGAGACAGTTATCTACCTAATTACAATGAAAGATGGTTGCGAAATTTTATGGATTGGTTGAGGTTAGACATTAACACCGTTGGATGTTGACCGGCTCAATGATTTAGTGGTTAAGCACTCGTAGATTCTGTGTTCGAATCTCTCGAGGCAAGATCGTAGATGTGCATTGGTGAATAGTTCCACAGTAGGATAAAACGGCTATTCAGTGCTTCTTTGTTTTCAATGATGATCTAACATCAATCGACTCATGATCTCGATCATATACTTAAATAATCCTAATTTTTTAAAACGTTTAAATCTATAAATTATTGTTTTGTTATATATTTCACCTTTAAACATTAATTTCTATTAATTGAATCTATTACATATACTTGTAAGTTATGGATAAAATGTCTAGACCACCCATGGAATAGAGCTATGATAATGAACTTTGATAATTCACTATAGATTTTTTTTTCTCTTTTTTTGGTGGATGAAATAAAGATTGTAACTAGGTAATCAATGAACATTATCAATGTTTTCCATTCTCAGTTCCATGGATCAAAAAGTGGAAAATTATTTTTGTATTTTTTTAAAGAGTAAACAAACAAACAAACAGTGTGCTGGGTATCTATGTCATCTCAGTTTTGAACTGTAGAAAAAAAGGCTTTTTGATGGAGTTTTGTTCTCTGATCTGGATAGTTTGATCGTGACGATTATATCATTCTTCTGAACGATATCATCAGCAGAAACTTTAGGTAGCTATAACTTAACAAGGTGTTTCATGTGTGATATCTGGCCTATGGAATGAATTATTTCTAGTGTGACTTTTATTCATTAGCAACAATAAATGAGGATTTTGAATTACGAGCTATTAGTTCTTTTTTAAAGTATCACTTTCTATAAGAAACTCCTTCTGGGGCTACTACCGGTCCCATGCCCGGATAAAGGAGGATTGGGTATGGGGTTAGCGCCCCTGTCATGTAGAAAACTAACTCGCTAAAAAAACACTAACCACAAAAAAAAATAATTCAGACCATTTAAACTCTGCTCCGGGATTTAGAAGTTATGACGGCTCATGGTGAAAGCCGACTTCCTTCGGAAATCACGATGCTGATGCCCCTTCTGACAACCAGAACAACCATTAATTTAAGTACCTGGAATGGTTGTACAATGTGAGAGATCGAGAGAGTCTTCCAAAGTGCTCGCTTTCCATAAGACTTAAAAGTTTTATGATCATCTTTGGACCAGGTCATAGTTGTCAACTATCATGTGGTTTCACTTCCATGTCGAACATATTGATAAAGTGAAATTCATGTCGATAAGTTAGAATGATTAGAAAAGTATATTATCGCCTTATACAAATTGTGACGTAATTAATCTATATGAAATTTCTAGCCTGAATTATGTAATTTATATTAACAGATTATTAGGGATTATTGTAATTCGTCTTTGAATTCATACTATTCTACTGGTATCATAAGTTCATGTAAGTTACAATTTGATTAGTAAAGATTTTGATACTGAATATATAGATCACAACCAATATAAGCGATGATGGATAGTGACTAGCCGTTGAATCCAGGACACGCGTCTCCTCCTATATGGGGCTCTTCAGTTGGACTCAATAGCTAAGTGGACAAATTAATGGTGTTTGATGCGGACGGTACTTGGTTCGAATCCCTCAATGAACATTTATTTTATTTAAACACAAGGATGCACACAATATATATGCGCCACATAAATCATTCGATTCGTGTGAGGGCTGTGATGCTGCCCGGGTGCCAAAACCGAAGCAGGTGGTTCTCTTAAAGGGTCACACCTGAAGTCTTTGGCATGAAGGACTAATCCACAAGGCAATGGAGCAACGTCAGGAGATGCAGTCCCATGGTAACCGGTGACCAACAATAGGTTCATATGTCATTTGTTCCTTTGGGACTTTAGAGTCCATGTACACTATTGGTTTGAAATCAGGATTTCTCAATTCCCCTAGGTTAACTCTACGTGTCCACTAACCCTGGATTCTATTACTAGCCACCATCCATCTTTGTTTATTCTCCCTTCATTGTTAGATCATTACTCAGTCGTTCTTTGGTACTTGAAATCTATGAACAATTTATGATGTAATGTCTTTCTATAATTCTATAAACTCATATATTTACTTAATCATTATAAATATGATTGTACAGCTTCAAGAAAATGATATCATTAAGAAGAAGATTTTCTCCTCTCAATCACCTTTCTCTTCTTCTTCTTCTTCTTCTTCTTCTTCTCTTCCTCCTCCTCCTACTACTACTCCGGTTTCGAAAATTTAACCCTTGACGACTATTCGTTTAATGGATTAATTTATGTATAGTGAGTACAATTTTGTATGAGACGGCGGTTTCGTCCTAGTAAGGAACTTTTTGTCAGTGAACAATGCCGGACTCAAGATTTCAACCTATGTTCTTCTGTCTCGCATGCGAACACTTTAACTCTAGACTACTGATTCGGTATTCAACAGTGTTAATGTCTAATTTCAATCGATCCATGAGCTTGTGCAACCATTTATCTATTGTTTGAGGTAGATAATTGTCTCTACCCGACACGGATTAGTCCCAATAGTCATGACAGTCCAGTACTTCCAGGTTTTCAATGGTGTTTTAATAAAATATTATCCACCTGAAATCATTTTGTTTATTCTTTAGTGATAACTGAACTCTAGCATACCAAGTTGCAATATGACTACTAGTTTAAGTGATCAGGTCGGTAATAAGCTTTGATTAATATATAAGTTTTCATTCGAATTGTCACCTGTCAGGAATCTAAATGGAGGTTATAATCCTTGTCTTACTTAACTTTA